GTAAAATGCCATCAAAGACACAGATAATTCTGAAAGCTGATATTTTAAAAATGCTGTCTCTCTTTCAAGCAAGTAAGGCACTTATTACACTCTATCTGTGATTATATTTTCCCATGGGTTTTAAAAATGACCTTCTTGTCAGCATCAAGGACTGTAACTTTTCAGATAAAAATACTTGTTCTTGTTTTAAGTCAATGCCAGGTTTATTCCCCTATAGTCCACAGTTTTCAAAAGCAGAAGAAAAAGTAATCCAGAAATTTTCTTTAAAAAAAACGCACTACTGTTTTCAGAATGAAGTTACTCTGTCAGCTTGCCTTGGGCTTTAGGTGGAGAAGAAAAGATTAAAGAGTCAGTATTCCTTTTCATGTTTCCTCTGCCAGTTTTGTGAATGTAAAAAGAGAAACGATACTAACAGCTAAGTGTTCAACTGTGGTACTAAATGCAGATCTCTCTCCCTCTCTCCCTCCCTCATTAAATTAACAGTATTTTCATATTAGGACAACCTGGGAATCACTGTGGCTCATCCTTGTGAAAGCAGTAAATACTGCATATCCACCACCACCCCTTTTTTTTCCTGGTGTAATGAGGACTTTTGTAAACCAGCATTTATGTGATACCATAAATCAACTGATTTCATTTTTTCATGTTTACTATCTACTGAACCAAAATGCACAATATGCTCAAAGTTTCAAAGTCATTTGTAACCTAGAGAAACATTGTATTGTATGGAATGCTTTTTTAAAAAAAGACACAATTTGTTACAAGATTGTTTTCATCTCCTCTTCAAACTGAATTAAATTACTTTCTTCTTATAAAACACAACTCGCTGTTTAGAAGTTTTTCTTTGATTTCTAAGAACAGCTTTACCAGGGGGGAAATGTTTTTTTCCCTAAAAAAACACAAATTTTGAAACTTGTACCAATCCATTTTATTTTACTTAAGGAATTTCATACATTTCTCTTTCTATTCCTTCTCTAAACAAAATTCAGAAATAGAATTAGATTTCCTTTTTGGAAATAGTATACAATATACAACAAACTATTGAATTAAATGCTGTACTATTATTATAATCATATCCTATAATCATATCCTATTAGTGTGTACTATAACCATGGGTCAATCAATAGTAGTACTATAAAAAAGATTCATCTAAAAAAATCTAGTGGTTTGCTCTTACAAACTGCATAATATAAAAGGTTACTTGCAAAGATACTTTATTTTGGCAGAATGGGTTAGGTGTAGAATCAGATTGGAATCATTCTCTAAAGAACTCTTTCCCAATCAATTCACTTCCATGAGGGTTGCACTAAACACTCATAATTCCCAGTCAGCTTTTTTATCTTAAATTACACCACTATTGTTACTTCCTGTGTGATATTGGTTGGCCTGTGTTCATGATTCATCCTACCACTTTGAAAAATAGCCATTAGAGACTTCCTTTCCTAAAACTTATTTTCCATAAGTGTTAAGGCACAGTAAAAAGCTAAAATGTTCTTTTGTAATTATATTAACCCAGGTGAAACAAAATAATTTATAACCAGCAAATTGCATTCTTTCATTTGCTTTATTTTCAGAAAGTACATTAGTGAAGGAAGAGGTTATTAGGCCTTTAAGAGTCCTAAAAAAAAGAACATTTAATTCATGCAGTTTTGCTATAATTGCATGAGCTTTCTGCCTTCTTTAGATCTCTTACCAGTGACTTTTAGAAATGGTTAACCCTGACAGGGTACTTATTTTAATATTGCCTCTGTTCCTTTTTCTTAAAATTGTATTTTTTAAAAAAATGCATGAGAATCAATTATTTATAGTATAGTCCTAAATATGCCTTGCCTTAACCAAGAAGATGGCAACTATAAATATAAATAGTAAAATATTAAGTTTATTGAAAGAAACACATTTCCTAATACCTCCATCTTCATTTTTCTTTCAGAAATGCAGGCATTCAACTAAAATGTTAACAATAGATTATAATAATAAAAATCCTTTATTATTAAACTTTTTTTATAAATCTATAAACTGAGGTATTCTAATAGAGTAAAACTTTAAAGAAAGATTCCCCTATTCCTTATTCTCAGTCTTAAGCTAATTATAAATTCAGAAGTATTTGCATAAAACTAAGTCTCAACACCATAGTTGTTTGATGGAAAAGCCCACACACCCCCCCCCTTTCTTGCTTATCTTTGCAGTTTAGAATTGAATTATATCTGAGACATGAATACACAAAATGAAAGATCCATTTTGATTAATGCATCAATCTGATCAACTTTACTTTGTTTACAAAACACTATAACCCAAATTGCAAATGTCTGCCACTTCTACCAAAAAAAAAATATCTGACTGAGTTTTCAAACTTTCAAGCTTTCAGTCAATTTATTGCAACATCAGAACATTGTAGTTAAAATAAAATGTCTATCTGTCTTTCTCTTCCATACATATGCATATGGAAAATAAATAATCCTTATTAATAAATGTGGTATGCCATAAATGCTGAATGCCAAAGAAGGGAAGAACAGAGCAGGAGAGAAATGTGGGAGCAAAAACTGAAATTTTGAGATAAACCTGTTTTTAAACAGGACAAAATCTCTACCCTCAACAACCACAAATGCATCCAAAGAACAGCTCTTCCACAAGTGGGTTAAGGGAATCTGCTGTAGGCACCAATGTGAAAAGAGGTCAGGGGAATACATGAAGGTCAAAATTGGATTTTTGAGAAGACCTTTTCAAACATTGGCCCTTGACAAGAATTGGCAGATTAGAAGAAGCTTTAAACAACAAAATATTTTAGGCCTCCAGTGAACCCTAAATCCTGCCATACTATTTAGATGACATAGAATAGCTGCAGGCAGAAACTTCTCTTGGCAAAACAACTATCAGTTAAAAGTTAAAGAAGAGCCAGTGGCCTCCACCTTATTTTTCTTTAGCCTCAAAAAGGGTGAAGCTAGTAGTCTCAGAAAAAAAAAATACTATCAAGTAGTGCATCCTCTGAGCCCAATTATCCTGCAATTCACCTCCACCAAGAGTCCCAAATTCATCTTGAATTTAGGTGTATCTTATTTTTAAAGAAAAAACAAAGCTCATTCACATCTATCTTCAGCCCTAGAGTCACTTGTACCGTATGCCTTGAGCTCAGGAGATGAATGCATCTGGCTGTATACATGTTTGAGTCCAACATAAATCCTGAGAGTGGTTTTGCGGCCTGGAATTGGTAGGCTGTGTTGCTAGAACGATTGATTAACAGCTGTTGTAGTTATACAATGCGTCACAGACTCTCTGGATAAATATAAGAATACCTAAAGCTTTAGCTGTCCCCTGAGCGAATACTTTTGAGTTAAGCCTCAGAATTTTTGCAGCCTTTCTGCTTGAGATGGGAATCTTGAACAGCAGTGATAGCTATAGCAAACCTTCACAAAGACAACAGAGAAAGGATGTAGAAAGAAAATGGAAAAACAGAAGAAAAAACTATCCTGCACTTTTGTATCTGTGTTCCTTTTTCAAAGAGAAGAAAAGGTTTTCTAGATTGTGATGCTAAGATGGATTTAGGCTGGTATCTTCTCAGGTACAGTAGGCTTTAAACTTTATATGGCATCATATATACTTGCATATCATTCTCTGAATCTGAAGGTACAGACAAAATTTAAAGGTAAAGTCTAACTTTTAAGTTGAAAGTTTAACAGTACAAACCAGTTTTTCCTGCCTTCAAAGTGACTTCTTTTTTTCTATTTCCCCCACCTCTTCCCCAAAAAATCAAAACGTACTTCATGAAACTATTGTATATGAAGCACTTATTAGCCATAATTAAATGGACAATATGAATTTACTACGTCTTTAGGACTCTGGCTTGTTCTGGTTTAGAGCAAGATGATTAATGCAAATACATATTACTTGAGATAACCATTTAGCAGCTAATTTAGCCAAATTTATTACAGCAGTTAGAGGTTTTTCATTTTAGCAGACGGAGACAAGGACATGCCAAAAGCAGAGATGTATGTGAATGCACACTGCCCTCTAGTGCACAAGATTTACAAGATGAAGAACAAATACATCCCAGAAGAAGAAATGCAAGCTGAAATAATAAGAATACTGAACACATTGTCTGTATTTCTGCCAAAGACATATTGCTTCCTTATTTCAGCATATATGCTACTGTATGAGAGTTTTAAATTAGCTAAAACTCTATTACAACATTTGGCTTGGAAATAGTGGCTTGAAACAAATTTTAACGTTCTTTTATGAAGCATCTTTAAGCAAAATTTCACAGAACTTACATTTTGCTTGTCCTTCCATTTCCGGTTCTATTTAAACATTGCAAAGAACTCTTGCTTTGACATACTTGATTCTACAACTCCCTTAGGCCACAGTTTCTTCTGCAGTTCATTGGTTGATTTATTTTGCTCTGGTATTAAGCCAAGTCTCTGCAGACATTCCTCCTATGACCACTGGAGATTTGGTTCATCTGAAGACTGTAAATTCTGTTTGACAAGATCAAAAGAAACAGATGTGTAAGTTCAGTAGTTGATATCACCTGCAATGAAGAGAATGATCAAAGAACTAGGGTACCGTATCTTCCCAAACCTTTCAAATAGCCAGAGTCTCAGGGAGGTTTACTACCTAGCAGCTATGAATAAATCACATAGAAATTTAACATGTGTATGATACACACACACACATGAATGAAACAGAGAGAATTGTCCACAGATTTGGTGCTTCGTGAGCCACAGCAAATTCTGCTTCTGATTGCTTTTCTCTTGCTTAGTCGACAGCAGATTAATCTGCCAACAGCAGATTAAAATCAAACTACAAATCAAGGCACTGCCTTCAACTCTTCCAGGCCTCCCAGAAATGATTTAATTGTTCTTATAATTGTGCTCTCTCTGAAACGTAGGGGACAAAAATTCCTTCCATTTCTTTGTACTGGTGTGGTGTGTGCTTTAATACAGAGCAATTGTGTATAAGTGCAATGCCAATGATTTTCCTTTTGCCTTTTGTTTTTTTCCATTTAGTGCTGAACAAGGGTCAGTGTGTTACAAAATACTACCGTTGGATGCAGAAAAGTGGGGGCTACATTTGGATACAGTCTAGTGCCACTATCGCTATTAATGCCAAGAATGCAAATGAGAAAAACATCATCTGGGTTAATTACCTTCTGAGGTATATCTTTCTGCCACTTCAATTATTGGCATTTTTGTTGTGACTACAGGAAACATTATTGAAAGGATAGTGTGTAAACAACAAATGCAAGGAACTCAATGTGAGTCTGCTTATAATTAATGTATACTAATAAATAATAGAAGCATGGTCATGGGATAGATTGCCAGTCTGGATTCTCCTAAATCCAGGTAAAGCTTTAGCTTAATCCGGGTTGATTCATAGCCAACCTTTGTTAGGCTGATACTGTGGACAGGGGCTTCTTTAAAGAGGCCATGAGGTAATGCTCCTATGTGCTAGGAAGCCAAGGCTGTTATTGTTTCAGAAACAATGTTTGTTGCAATTGTCAGTACAGAATTTATCTTAAAACTCTTAAGTGCACTCCCTTTTCTTTTCCAGATATGTTAGACATGTTGGTTAAATGCCAGATGTTTAAGCTCTCTGAATTGTATACAGGAAAATATTAGGTGTGCTGTTCCTTGAGAAATACAGCGTTAAGACCTTTCTGAATTTAGATCTTGGTGAATGCACACTGTGACCAGTAGAGAGGGATTATTTCCCTTTTATCTGGATGCTTTATGGGAAATGCCTGAATTTTATTTCTGTTGTCTGAATAATGGAAACCAAAAGAGTATATTATTTTCTTATTTAAAATAAGAGGTATTTAAATTTAATAAATGTGTTTATGTAAGGAAGATGGGAAATATTGTGCACATATCAATCCTAAGCTTATGTCCTCAGAATTCTTGTTGATTTAAATAAGTCTTATTTCTGTTAAATGGGGTTAAGACATGTGGAGCCTTACAAACAATTATTGAGGGGGGAATGGGCCATGTGATTCCTTGTTTTACTCTTTCCTCTTGCAAAGGCTGGGTCCTTATGTCAGGAGTGAGCTCAGAAAGAATTCACATCTCCTTTATGTCCAGAGAAAGGACTGTAACCTCTCATTTTCCCCCACTGTGATTTAATTGAAGATAAAGAGGGAATCAGATATTACTTAGTGCCCCAAGCACTTGTTGGAAGAGAATTGAACATAGCAAGAGGCATTCTGCTTTTGAGCCCAAAATGCTTCCTGCCATTATGATAAATGAAAATCGGAGTTGAAACAGTTTCCCAGTAATTAAAGACTAGCACATATATAGGCCAGAAGCTTGAGGAATCAGTGTACATGTTACACAGCTCCATAGGATTTGCAGATAACATAGGAGCATCCTGTCTCCTCTTCTCCATGGATTAACCTCTGATACAAGTTGCAAATTATAAAGTGATTTTCCAGTAAAAACACGAGGGACTTGTAAAAGCAGCCTCCTAGATATGCAATGGTTTTAGTTCTTTGGAAATGTTTTCTTTTTAATCTTGTTACACGTTCTTGGTTCATGTTTCCATGCTTGCTTGTAGAGAAGTATTACTGGGCTGGCATTAATAGAAATGCAGAATAACAGTGTTGGAAGGGACCTATGCAACATGACACAGTTCACATATGAGTCCAGAAATTGTAAATAACAGTGCCTCTGTAAGTTACGCAAAATAAATGATGAGATCATAATATATGGAAGATGGTAATAAACAATTCACTCATAAGATAGAAATAACAGAAAACAAGCTTATGTATTTGATGGATACTCAACAAAGAATTATTATTTTGATGGATAATACCAGAACAAAAAGAATATATATTTTTAAGGTAGTATTAATGAAAATTCTCCAAAGCTTCAAGAATGAAGAATCAAGATATGTAATTAGTGTTATTGTGCTTAGGTGTCTGCATAAGGATTATTTTTAATAGTGAAAAATCAAGATAGAAATTCTCTAAGTAAAACCTACAAGCAAAAACCTCAAAACCTTTATTACATTTCATCACATGGCTATATTTGATTAATGTTAGCAATTTATTGTATTATATTGTTTTAATTACTTAGTTGCCAAGAAAGGTGTGGGAAGGAAGGAAAGAGAAAGAAAGAAAGAAAGAAAGAAAGAAAGAAAGAAAGAAAGAAAGAAAGAAAGAGGAATGAGGGAGGGAAGGAAGGAAGGAAGGAAGGAAGGAAGGAAGGAAGGAAGGAAGGAAGGAAGGAAGGAAGGGTGAGAGAATGCCTTTCTATGCTTTCTATTGTTTCAGGCATTTAAAAGAATTTTGAAAAAAGGGGGGAACTATCATACTGTTATCATGTATGTGTACATGGGCTGCCTCTTCTTTTTTAGTGATCCAGAGTATAAGGACACTCCAATGGATATTGCACAACTTCCACACTTGCCAGAGAAAACCTCTGAATCCTCTGAGACATCTGATTCTGAATCAGATTCAAAGGATAACTCGGGTATGTAAACGCTCATCTTCTATGTAACGTTTTGGCATCTTTTTAATTGTATTCACGCCATTACAGCCAAGTTAGAAACTGCAATTAAACTTATAAGGGGAGCTTACAAATTCTCATAAAAATTGGTAAGAAACACTGGGCTGGTTGGGGCTGTTGCCCTCTGGGAAAATCAAGTATATAGTTAGGAGTATTCTTATATCTATCACTGTTGGCTGGATGTCCAGATGACCTCATCATTTAAGAGCAGCTACTGTCATCTCAGATTCATACAGCAGCTCTGACCCTATTTGCATAGCAAGAGCCCAGCATATGTGCTCTGTTAATCTCTTGGCTGGATTACTGCAAAGCATTTTATGGAAAGATGCCTTTGAAGATGGTTCAGAATATCTAGCTAGGACTGGCAAATAATATGATGCTAATGTTTTATCAGCTGCAGAAACTATTCCAAGTCTTATTTGAAATATTAGCACTGCTAAGCCTTGGATGGTTTGGGTGCAGAGTATCCCATGGAACATCCTACTTCCTCCTATATTGGAATTGGAAAGGAGTTTACAAAGAAGGAGCCTTCTTACCTGTTACACTTCACTTATAAAAGGCTCTTTCTATGAAGCCACATCTTGCATCCACATGGCAATATTATTGTTTTCAGAGCAAGATCTTCCTCTTCTCTAGGCCCTTTTAATTTTAGCTGTCTGCCCTTTACTGTAATAATGGCTTTTATATGGATGATAATCTTTCTGGTGCTAATCATGCATGGTATTTTATTCTTTATGTATAGTTTTTCTGACTGTACACACATTTAGCAGGCTGTCCATAGAACTGTCATTACTGGAGTAATGATAACAACACCACAAGCCTTATGTTCAGCTTGAGCATGAATGTTTTGTTTTGTTTTTTGAACAGCAGAATCTTGAACTGGAGGGAGTTAAATGACAGACCAATGCAGCTCAGCTCATACTTGGTAAAACTGTCATTTTACACCTAAAAGAAAATGTCTTTGCCAGTAATATTGCTAGTAATAATATTTCACCAGCCTCCAGGAGTCTAAGTGGGCTCTAAATCTTACATTCTTATTCCTAATGATGTTTTTCACTTTTCTTTCTACTCAGAGGACAATGAGAATTCAAAGTCGGATGAAAAAGGAAATCATTCAGAAAACAGCGAAGATCCCGAATCAGATAGGAAGAAGTCTGGCAATCAGTCAGATAATGAAATGAACTGTAATGATGATGGGAACAGCTCCAGCAACCAGGACAGCAGAGACAGTGATGACAGCTTTGAGAATTCTGACTTTGAGAATCAAAAGGCCCCCGAAGATAGCTTTGGCACTCTTGGTTCTATGCAGATTAAGGTGGAGCGCTACGTGGAGAGTGAGTCAGACTTGCGGTTACAGAACTGTGAGTCATTGACCTCGGACAGTGCCAAGGACTCAGACAGTACAGGAGAAGTAAATGCCCAGTCTTCCAGCAAGCATCAAAAAAGGAAGAAGAGAAGGAAAAAACAGAAAGGAGGCAGCGTGGCCCGGAGAAGGCTCTCAAGCACCTCAAGTCCAAATGGGCTTGACTCAGCATTGGTGGATCAGCCCCAGCTGCTCTCACCGCCAAACAGTGCCTCAGTGCTCAAAATCAAAACAGAGATCTCAGAACCTATCAATTTTGATAATGATAGCAGTATTTGGAATTACCCACCCAACAGGGAAATCTCAAGGAACGAATCACCTTACAGTATGACCAAGCCCCCCAACTCAGAGCACTTCCCTTCCCCCCAAACCAGCAGTAGTTTACATGTCTCCATTCCAGACTCTGTTCTAACCCCGCCAGGGACTGAAAATCCTGCCAATCGCAAATCTCAATTCAGCACCTCATCCAACTCCGCCTTGGCTCCTGTATCCTCTGATCCTTTGTCCCCACCTCTTTCAGCATCTCCACGGGACAAGCATCCGGGTGGCCCCAGCACTTCCAATTCTTTATTGTATACGGGGGATCTGGAAGCCCTACAGAGATTGCAAGCAGGCAATGTGGTCCTTCCTTTGGTTCACAGGGTAACTGGAACCCTTGCTGCCACCAGCACGGCTGCTCAGAGGGTCTATACCACTGGCACGATCCGGTATGCCCCAGCTGAAGTTACTTTAGCCATGCAGGGCAATCTCCTCCCCAACACTCACGCTGTTAACTTTGTGGACGTTAACAGCCCCGGTTTTGGCTTAGATCCTAAAACACCAATGGAAATGCTCTACCACCATGTCCACCGACTCAATATGTCAGGACCATTTGGAAGTGCTGTGAGCGCAGCCAGCCTGACCCAAATGCCTGCAGGGAATGTGTTCACAACTGCCGAAGGACTGTTCTCGACTCTTCCGTTTCCTGTGTACAGCAACGGCATCCATGCTGCACAGACACTGGAACGGAAGGAGGACTGAAATATGACCACATATTGTGTTCCGTGTTAAACTCCGAGGCATAGACTATGTTTTAATTTAGACCTTTAATCCTAGCACTTTGAATTTGAGCAGGTCAGCTTATTCTCTCCATATGATGCTCCCCATTTCATCCCCTTTCTCTTTGACTTGACTTATTCTTTGATGGGAAAGATACTTTTAATTTTGGCCTTCAGAAAACTGAAGTATCAGTGGCCTGCCATTTTGTCTTCTTCCAAGATGTGTATTTCTTTTCCTTTTGCATCTTTATTAAGATGCCTTTAATATGCGTATGCCTCTGCCATAGAATACTCAGTGTTGTGGTAAAGAGATTGTAAGAATGACAACCATGGGGTTTACTTTAAATTGATCTTGATATGATCAAGGTTAAAAGAAACAAGCATAAAACAATGTGCCCTGTTTGACTAAGTCAAATGAAAAGGGGGGTATTTGTTCCTAATTCCTTTTAAAAAAATAGGGGATAGTATTTTAGAATTTTATGCAGAGTTTAATTTACTTTTTATGGTTAAGATTTTCTTACTTGCACATACAATAATTTGGGTTCTTAAAAATTAATTTCTGGCCTGTGATTAGAATAATAAGAAGATGGACTAAATGTTAACTACAGAAACATTAACTTAATTTCTAAAACCATGGTGCTATCATTTATTAATCTGTAATGTCTTCACACAATATGCAGCTTGTGGGCTGGGTTTTGTTTTTGTTTGGAAAGGAATGTCTTCTGTGCTAGTCCATAGTCAGGTGCTGCAGTTTCCTTGGTTAGTTAAGACAAAAGCCCTCATTAACATTTGCTGCAGGACTTAATTTGTTTACCTCCAAACTAACAAAGCCTCATATTAAATTTAAATGGATCTGGAAGACTTTTCTTTTGGGGAGTTGAGCAAATGTGCTAAAAAGAACAAGAAAATGCAGTGAAATTGACTTAAAGACCAGATTTTTTAAGGTGTATATTGTTTCTCTTTCTATTTTTTTATTCTCAGTAGAACTGAGGCTAATTTTACAACTTCCAAATAAGTGAATGAATGAGTAAGTGAGTGAATGTGTGTGTCTGTGTGCATGTGTGTGTGGATATATGTATGTGTGTGTGCGCGTATTTACACACACACACACAACACATATATACATGTATGCTTAATGTTATAGAGGGAAGGTTGTATCTTTATTTTTATGTTTTGCTCATTGTTTTCTCTTTTGTAATCCCCCTCCTCCTCCTAGTGTTGAAGCCAATATGTTTTAACAAATGGGTTAATAAGCTTGAACTAGATAACTGCAACTAAAAAACTGCACATTAAGTAAAAACAAAAGAAAAGAAGTCTATTTTGTCTTCGTTGCCAGAAATCAGTGTAGTGTCAAACACTCCAAATGACTGTCAAGTATAAATTCTTCTTCCACTCCATCTTTGGCAGCTGTTTGTTAAGGCATCTAATAACAGATGTGAGAACTGTAATGTGTACAATGTGTAAGTGTCCTTGGCTGTCAGTCTCATTGCAGTTTCAATGTGTGTTACTATATGCAGTATATACTAAGCTAATGTAGTTGTTTTGTCCTTTGTCTTCTCTGTGCTTTATCTCTAGTCTGGAGTGGCAAAGTCCCATTCCTACAGTCCTAGTGAACCAGTGATTCTTGGGGGTTAGTAGTTTTTGTGTGGTGGCCTTCCACTGTCTGTATACCTTTTCATTTCTGCTGTTGCTTTGCTGGTGTGTATTTTCAGACCTTTCTCTCCCTCTGTTTACTTCCAACCTTCACCTTTCTTCCCAATTTCTTCTTCTAACTCTTTCTCTCTTTTTCCATTCTCAGAGATAAAAGACTCTTAACTAGCTCAAGGTAATGGAGCCATTTTTCCCCACAGAGGAGTTCTGGGTATGTCTTGCTCGTACAGTGTGCATCACACAATGCACTAAAGGATGATACTCAGACATATTAAATGAAGTGATGCCATATAGCCTCAGTTGTTAACATTTCCAGAGTCCCTTGTGCTCTAATTGTAAGTAGAGGGTGCATTTCTTTGGTGTTCTCCCAAGTTGGTTAATGGAATAATACAGAAAGAGATAGAAAATTCTTGGAGTGCTCAACCAATGTGGTTCAAAAGCAAAGCTGAGCTTTGGATTGTCAAATATATATTTTTGCATACCTGAGCAATGTGTTGCTGATGTATTTTAGCTCAGCAGTTCTCTACATACCGTAGTGGATGACCCTTTGTGTTGAAATGAAGCCGAGTACAGTGGGGTTTGAATTGGAGAAGTAGAGATGAGAAAGAGTGGGATAGAGTGATGCCCACAAAGGGCACTGAATGTCATAAAATTTGATAATGAGCTTGTAAAGGGTTAATTTGAAAGATTTTAGGTAGATTCCAAGGCCAAGAGAAGCTACTTTGGGTTTCGCTTTGGAAGTTCTAGCTGTTGAACAATCAAAGGAGTGCACCTATCGGCTACAAAGACAGCTAGACAGCTGTTATTGCTTTATTTTATTTTATTTTTTATAAATGTTTCTGTGTTGTGTCAAAATGATTTCTGGTGATTTAACCTAACAGATAATCACAGCTGCTGTCTAAATCCATAGTGTTTAAAATTACAAAATGGAAAAAAAAACCTTCATTACCTGTGAAAGACTGTGTCTGTGTTTTTAACTATTTCTTGTACAAATATATGAAATCTTTTATGAGGAGACTGGTGCCAAGTAGCTGAATAAAGGGGAAAGGGATTCTGTTCGTATAAATCTTAGCAGTGTTACCAACTCTACAATATATTAAAAAAAATAATTAAAACGTTTAAAAATGACAGCTATGGTACATTTATTTTGTGTTAACCTAACCGAATCTAACTTCTTGAGTGCCTGGCTTATTCGAAACATTTTTTTTCATTGATCATTGATAATGCTGCAAATCAGAAATGTACATACTTCATTTACAGCAGGGTTCTTTTTATACTTTTGTAGATTCTCATACATGTCATACATGGTTGTCTTTATGTAACTTAATTTTTTTCATCCTGCAGGTGCCATTTTCATAATAAACTTCTCTTGGATTTGTTACTATCTGGCATCATTTCTTTTACATACGATCATCCTGATTAATTAATGCTGGTAGTATTTGTTTAAGCAGGGTACCTTGTTTGAAAGCTTTTAAAAGCTAAAAAAAAATAAAAGAGGATGTAACTAGATTATTTTCAAAGATTATAAGCTTTTCAAAGTGACCTACGTAGAAGCAGGCTAACAATGCTAATCCAAATACTACACTAAACGTGCCACCATCCTAAATTCTCAGCTACCCCAACTCATTATCATATTGAGCATTTTATGCACATTATCAAAGCTGAATAATAGGGCTGAAATGTTAACTATGACAAAAAGGGTGATTTCAGAGAGCAGCTTGTCCATGCTGATCACCAAAAATGCAGATTTATCCTTTCATATATGATATCAATACGCTCAAACTCTTTGTCACTCATATTCTATTTAGGCATTTGATTTTATCCCTCACCCTGTAAATTGGAAGACAAATACCTCATGTTTTCATACATTCGTATTAGCCAGGCTTCTGGCAAAGAGATGGAGGACAGAAGAGTTTGCCAGAACACAAACCCAGGACTTGACTTCAGGGTAAAAAGCACACACAAAATAGGGCTCAAAGTCATATGGATGTATTATCATTTAAAATGAACAATTTACCACAACTTCAAAAATATACGTGATTGTATCACAGTGCTTTTGGATGATAGTGAAATAGATTGACATGGTAACATCAAGAGCTGCTACTGATATGTTGATGTTTAAGTGGATTGTAATATGTCAGTCCACATGAATTCCACTGACTTGTGCAATGTTTCTGATACGTTGGTTTACACACACTGTCTGCATGACAAAAGTAGCAGATGTTCTTTCTGAATTTTACTTACACCAGGGGTGTCCAACCTTGGCAACTTTAAGACTTGTAGACTTAAGCTTTGCTGGCTGAGGAATTCTGGGGGTTGAAGTCCACAAGTCTTAAAGTTGCCAAGGTTGGACACCCCTGGACTACACCTTTCCCATTAGCCTCACAACTCTGGGAAATGGACCAAAATTTAATCTGAAAATAGACTTAATTTGAGCAGTAAGTTTGCAAAGGAAGTTTAATTTTGAATATGAAAGAAAACAAAAACAAGCTCAGAGGGAAAGTTCTTTGATTTTCAGTCGAAGCTGAATTCTCAACATGCTGATTTTGTTAGATTTATTGAAAGAGGAGACCGGCTGGCCCTTATGCCATTCATGAAACTATTACATCCCAGGAAAAGGAAATCGGAAGGTTGTTAATTTGATGTGCTTTCTAGGGTGCAGGATAATTTATTTATGAGCTTTTTAGTTATACTTAGGATATAGGCTGTTTCCATATACTTAATTTTTAATAGCTGCATACACATATGATACATTTTGGAGGATAAATACACAATGTGCCATAATGTATATATGTGTTCAAAAACTAAATAACTTCTCTTTATGCTGTCCTGATAATGAATCTTTCATTCACATTAATGGACTGAAGTTTTTAATCATCTTCAGCTCAATCAGCTGTTATTATAATGTACTAAAGAAACTTAAGGCCATAAACTCATCTGCAATTATTTGGTGGTTAATCTCATCCTATAAAGCAGAAAATACTTTTTCGAGTGTCTAGGCTAGGATCAGGCTTTTTAATGCTCAGGTTCCAGTTTTAAGAGAAATATTTCTGCCACAGAGGTTCAGTTAAGTTAAAAACCAGCAAATAATTACTTCAACTTTATATTATGAATTCTCAATTTTTATCTAAATTTTAGTGTGAATATGAAATACATTGGTTAGTTTGTCTATTCTGTATGGTATTTAACACTTACAAATAATGTGAGGTCTCCTCCAAGAGCTTCATCAAACGTTACATATTTAATTTACATTTTTAAATATGTAAATATAAACATCTGAAACTGTCAGGCTTGTCAAAAGCAAATTGCATGGTCAGAAATGGATCATGTGGTCTAGCACCAGCTGACCATCAGAGTTCCAGAAGAGGCAGGGCAAGGCCTGAACCAGCAAAAGTATGTTTGCCTCTTTCTCTCATAGATTGTTTATGCTGGGCATTGAGTTCTGGAACAATTCTTACATTTGCTAACAGAAACTGTTCTGATTCTTCTAAGTCATTGGATAATTTCCTGGGCAAAAAGGTTGCAACTAATCTTCAGACTAGCAGAGAAATATCGTGAAGCCACGATCTCAGGCCTGCCAGCATTTCCATTTTCCTGGTTAAGTTCATTTGTTTCTCAATGCAGCATCTGATTCCAAACGTAGAGATTAATTACATTTGAGATGAAATTGTGCTGAAATTTACATTAAATTTCAAAGGCCTGCAAAGGATGTACAGTAGTCACAACCAAATTTCAAAACAATAATGTAGTTATAGAAAGTATTATTGCTTTTTATACTTTATAATACTTAAAATGAAGGTAACTTATAGCAATACAATAACAAAAAAAAAAGGTTACAGCCACCGGTCTTATTGAGGAGTCAGCAAAGGAACATAAGCCTTTGGAGAGCATATTAATTACTTAGACACATCTCAGATCTGAATTTGGAAGGCCAAGAAGGCAGCCTTAACTATATGCACTGATGCCCTGCTCCTTTTACTTGTGTAGAAAATTTAGCGCACATAAAGCAGGTACAGTCTTCATCACAGTAAATTTGACAACTTTGACCACTCACAAACGGTCTGCACATGACCTGCTCTACTTCATACCCAACTGATGGTAATAAAACACTAGAATCAGGTGTGGCAACTTGCTTTCTATGTAATAGAGTTTGCGGTTCCTTGCAAATTTCTTCTTTCAAATCTGTTCTGTATTTATCAAAAATATTCATTTGCTATTTTATTCTAGAATCTCAATATTCTCACCCATTCCCAATCTCTTAAAAATTGTATCTTGGTTATAGAGAAACCACGCTCTGCAATAGAGACAAATGGAGATGGTCTTGAAGTAACTATTCGGAATTTGTAACATCATGAAAAAAAACTGAAGCATTCCTTAACTCCTGGGAAGAGAGATAGTATTAAGAAGAGACTTGAGCTGGCTCTTTCCTGACTGACTGGAATACAAAAGGGAGGGGATTCTATCATTATAACTACCATAATAAATATAGTTGTAGTCTTCTTGTTGAATTGGTTTTTGTTCTGTTCTGATATTTCGATCTCTCTCCCTTCCTCCCTCTCTCTCTCTGTCTCTCTTATTTTTGCTTTTACACAAGTGATAACTTTATATACTCACTAAATTGACATGATAGCAGTGTTCCAATATTTAAGGGGCTGCTACAGAGAGGAAGGGGTCAAGCTATTTTCTAAAACACCTGAAGGCCAGACAAGGAACAATGGATGGAAACTGAACAAGGAGAGATTTAACCTGGAAATAAGGAGAAACTTTCTGACAGTGAGAACAATCAACTAATGGAACAGCTTGCCCTCGGGAGTTGTGGGAGCACCATCACTTGAGACTTTCAAGAAGAGATTGGACTGCCATTTGTCAGAAATGGTGTAGGGTCTCCTGCTTGGGTGGAGGATTGGACTAGATGACCTACAAAGGTCCCTTCCAACTTCATTAATCTTTAAGGGTATTTAAAAACTATGAAAAACACTTGCCTATTTAGGAACTCCCTTAATAGATATGCTTTCATAGGATTGGAACAGTAGGTCGACAGATAGACACCGGAATATAGATGTAACAAAAGCCACTTCTACCTATTACCACCCAAAACACTGGAGAAATAATTTCTGGTATTTGAGCTACAATTAAGTTTGGCTGAAAGCTCAGGTCTCCTATTATCTTTGATTTTGAATTGTTGCTGCTGATATATTATTTTCTAAAACCAGGCTGAAGTGCTATAAGAAAAACAAGACAGGCCTGTCTCAACATCTTTGAAAAATCAAACTGGGTGAAAAAAAATCAGAAGATTAAAAACCAGCTTTTTGCTACCATCACTACAAAGTGATTGTGTAGTATAGTGATTATGTAGTGTAGTTATTGTAAAACAATAGCACTGGGACTGTCTACTATGCTGTGGGTTAACAGGCAATCTATGTAGTGGTTTTCATTAATGCCCTTGTTTCTTTTTTTTTTACGGGAGGAAAATGAGGCTGGCTGAAAATCAGCATAAGTTATTCAAAAGTTACCAAGATAAGGCTAATACGTTACTCATGAGCCTGATTTTGGGCAAGGAAATGGGATACCAAGGGAACCTGAACTTTTTAAAGTAAGAGCACAACCCAAACTGGGAAACAAAAATGCACATATTAGGCACAAAGAATACATGTCTCAACCTATACATATGGCAATTGAAATTGAATAACATATTGCCTTTTAACTTATTCCTTTCTATCAAGGCTTTGTTTTTAAATGTAATGTGCTGAGATTGTCCCTAAATATTCTCAGGAAAGCTTATTTCCAAGCCCTGACCCTTCTCAAAGAATCATCAAAGAGCAAAGTACGTTCTCCATTTCCAAGGAGGATACTTCACCTCTGATGTTTAATCTAAGTTTGCCCAAGATAATTATATGCATTCACCCAATTTTCTCAACCTATTTGATCAGCAACATACCATTGTAAGCTAGCTTTAGTTTCCTGAAAGCACAGGAATCGGCTTGGCTTTTATCTGCCTTCTAAATATGGAGGAAATGACAGCAGCAGGACACAATAAGTTGCATTTCCTGAGCAGAATTAACATTTCCTTGCTAGATTATTGATTTGGGTGTTTATCTGTTCTGCATTATAACTAGACTTATTAAAATCAATCAATAGTATTCTAAGTGCTGATGCAGTCCTCAATTTTGCCCTAAGCATTTTACTTAAAAATGTAAACATGCACAATCAACTCTAATAATAGAAGTATGAAGCTGGATTCATACTATAAAACTCTTTATGCACGTTCAAATTACACTGAGTCCATTAAACAAGGAAGTTGTTTCAGTACAAGGTATGCAAACTGAAAGTTACTTGTATAT